GTATGGAACCGGTACAGGGTGACATGGCATATATCCAGGGACTTTGCCACTTCCCTGAATGATTTGCCCTTCTCAACTTCATTTGAGGCCCTCTGCAGCAGAGCAAGTGGCACTCCCCTGTCTGTCTTCCTCTTTCTGACATTTGACATACTGTAAACACACACACACACACTTTAGGCCTACTGTACAGTATTGTATTCTGTTTATTTTTACAGGGACAATGCACACCAATCAACAATACAACTGTATGCTTGAATGAACAATTGATCATTCAAGCAAATGTGCCATCATTGTAAATGTGCCATGTTACAACCGTCCCGTTACAACCGTCCCAGGACCACCAGTCTTGCTTTCACCCCCTGTGAACCTGCCTGATTGCTAGCTTGACCCATATTTAGCTAGTTATATTTGTAGCTTACAAAACAGTGATTCTAATAATACTAGTTTGGATTCCTAGACATTTGAACTCAAGACAGTATCCAAAAAATACATCATATAATTTTAGTTAATATTTGACCTCAGAAACACTTTTGCTGATATCTTACGCGAGAAATTCAAACGTGGCTCCTTTTTTTCTCAGCGATCTCACCATCTATCTGCGCATGTGCAGAGTGAGTTTCATCACTCTAGCTTGTTTGTGATTGGAGATAAAATAATAAATACACCTCAGTCACATGATCAGAGTTGACAGACCGGTTCTGACACACCCTGCATTTTCCACTGATGATGTGTGTTCTGTATGTTAGTGATCTACGATAACAATCAGACTGCGGCTCATTCTTAATATATCTACATGAGTAACTGCATATTCTAAAATAAATATTCGATTAAGGATGGCACATTACCAGAAAGTTAGTAGTAGATTCTTATATTAGTGATATTCCTCGATGTCCGATTAATAACCACTTCAAAAGATGGTGTCTGCTTTAAAATCTTTTTCTTAAATCCGATTCCAAACACTTTTTTCATTAAAGCTCCCATGTCATGCTTTTCCGGTTATTACCCGTCCCCTTGTGTTATGAAGGTTTTTATGCATGTAAACGGTGTGCAGAGTCAAAACCCTCAAAGTACACCCTGTAGCGAGTAAAACTCTAACACAGAAAATACCTCCCCAAAACGCCTCGTTGGAGATACGTCACTGCCCATTTGAGTCTTCCATTTAGTTCCGGGTACGGCATGATGTCATGCGGTACCCGGAACAAAATGGACCAATCCCGAAGAGCTATGGCCACACCCAGCGGCGCTGGCCGCACCCTCTGCCAGCCTAACATTTACTGTTGGAAGCTCTGGTTCAGTTCACAATCGATCCAGTCATGCCAATGCCAAGGACCTGTTTCCTGAAATGTGAGGAGAAATCTGAGCTGTTTGTCCTACCGACGGAAGAACCACGACGAAGTCAGTGGTTGAAATTTCTGTTTAACACTGTTCCTTCAGAGGTTCAAAGAACCGGCATTTCACAGACGAAAGCTTCCAAAACATTGCCCAGTTTGAGGCCGGATATGCACAGCTTGTTTGGACCGTTTGGAGCAGGGGAAGATTCGGGTACACAACCTGTAAGTTTGCATTGTTATTTGTGTATTTATTAAACAAGGTATCTACCACGACTGTTTAAATGTGTAAACATGTTTCGGACTGCTAAGCCAGTGCTAACTGTGCTAACTAAGTTGCTAGCGTTTCCATATCAACTCTAATATCAGCAGATGGCCTTACATACATGTATCTCATAGCAGGAGAATGTCTGCATTCACACACAAAATACTCATCGACAGTATACTCCGGGTGATTTGCCGTACGGTCAGTCGCGAAACGCAATTACATTATAGCTGGCGTAGCGTGTATGCTACCGAGCTAAACAACAAGGCTACTAAGAGCTAGACATGAGTTTGCTCGGAAAAACATTGTTTTTATGCCAGCTACAATGAATGTAGCAGACTACCCATATAAGATTGCAATTGTAAACATGTGCTTGATAGCCTAATATGAACCACTATCTGTTGTTCATAGTATAGTAAAGCATATTGAACAACTGAACAACTAGCAAACGTAGATTAGCATTGTAATCCAGCTGGCAAACTGACGAACATCAAACAACTAAGTTTATTTCACACTTCCAGCAGAGACAACGGGGAAATCCCCTCTCTTTGCCCGCTCACAGACCCCCAAAGGACAGTACATTACAGTTAGCTTTCCTCCGACGCTGATAGCATGTATAGCTAACGAGGCTAGCTATACATGCTAGCGGGAAACATTGTATGACCGAAAATAGCAGACTACCCGTATAAGATTGCAATTATAAACACGTTATTGCTAGCCTAATATGAACCACTAGCTTTTGTTCATAGTAGTTTTATTACACTCCATTATAGTTGCCGTTCCTCCGAGCTAACATTCATATCGTGTTTGCTAAGGTAAACAAGAAAGCTAGGTTAGCATATTAGCTGGCAAGCTTACTGTGTTGATTAGATAGATGGATTAGATAGATCCACACTCCTACCACAACTACTACTAACGAATCTAAAACAACTAAGTTTCTCTAATATTTTGTGATTTGCATTTGATTTCGTCCAGCCAGATCCTGCCGGACAATACATGACGGGGACGGGACTACCACACTGAGGCCTCGTCCTAAAAAGCCCCGGCTGCGATAGGCAAGATGCCGACAACGGGGAGGAATGGATGATATACCGTGTATATATGTATATTTATGTTCATTTTGTACATTTCTAAAAATAAAGTTTGATGGAAATACTTAGTAGGCCTATCCTTTCTTCCCTGAATTATTTGCTCCTCTAACATATCATTCATATATAGCAAACCATGATTTGATTTCTCATCAAACAGTAGTAGTTTATTACAGGTAAAAATAACTTACTCTTCTATGACAACAGTTGTAGGTACAGTTCGGTTAGATAGCGTATAAAATATACGGCTGTACCGACGCCATTATAAGACTGATGTTCTGAGAGCGAGCCGAAAAAAGCACTGTTAGACATGGGCGGAGCCTCTCTGGTGGTTGACTAATCAGAACAGAGTGGCCGAGCTGACCAATCGGAGCACACTAGGCTCACAGGGAGGGGGGGGCAGGAGCTCCAACGAGCCGTTTAGTGGAGAGAGTGAATACTGCTGAATACACATACTTTACATGCTGTATGCGAAACCAATGTGAGTTTGGAACATTGCACAGTATAAATCTATTTTAGTATACCTCAACAATGTAATTATGATAAGTGGAAATGGCCATGACATGGGCCCTTTAAAGGCCTTTTTACAAAATGTCTCCCTGTTCATGCAACAAAACTACTATTATATTTATCCCCAAATCTTTCATTCCAAATAGAACGCCGGCAGGCGCTGACACTTCCGGGTTGGGAGTATAGTCAGGGAAAACGGCGTAAAACCCGGCCTGGAGTTTCTACTCAGACCGGACTACACGAAGCAGGGTAATCTTTATTTATTTAAAGTGTCGTGTGGGAGGATGGGGAGAAGTTAAACGAAGATGTGTTTTCTGTGGTTGGTGAACTGAACTGAAACTAATACGCTATGTGGATTATTGTTTTGGAATAACTGTGGACTGTACAAAGAAAATCTGGAACGGAGTTTTGTGGATTATATTATTTTTGTTGGACTATTTTTCATGAACTATATGGATTATACTTTTTCATTCACATGGGACTCACTGTTCTTGAACTATTGAATATAGTATTTGTTTGCATTTAAAGAGATGTGTTGTGTGTTTTTGTTCAAAGGTATTAATTTACTATTGAAAATACAGAAATATTGTACTGGTTAAGAGGGGCATGTGCTGTATGTATTTCCCGTCGGTAACATGTACCCGTTGTAGGGTTTGACTTGATCTTAACTATAAATTGTCAGGCCTGACCTGACTGTCACCCCAGCAACTATAGTCGAACCGCTACAAGGTTTAAGAGAAAGACACAGGATAGTTGACATGTTGTCTTCCTTTGGGGACCCCTGATGTCTGAGAAGGCCCCCAAAGGAAGACAACATGTCAACTATCCTGTGTCTTTCTCTTAAACCTTGTACCCTAGTGTAAAAACACATCTGAGTCACGAGAGAACCGGTGTAACCAGTGTCAGAAACCCAGTCAGTGAGAGGTGATGTAGGTCTACTAGCTGACCACTAGATGGTGCTAACTGACCCTCTAATGGAATGAAGATTAGCTCTGATATGTGATGTGATATGTGATGTGATATGTGATGTGATATGTGATGTGATATGTGATGTGATATGTGATGTGATATGTGATGTGATATGTGATGTGATATGTGATGCATGTCTGCCTGATCACACACATTGGGAGGTATGTAATTTCTTTTTGAATGTACTATGCACTACAACTAAACTGCTTTCTCAATAAAGTTTCAACAAAAGTCAGGGTTATGTTTAGATAACATGACATATTGTTGATCATTGTGATCATTGGATGAAAAAATATATCGTTAAGTTATTTCAAAGATTCCGGTACAGACTATTATTCAAACTATGTTCTCCCTACACGGTATTTTCTGGACTGATTCCAACAGTAAGTTTGACCAAATGTTGAGAGCTGAGCTGAAGGCTCTTCAGTGAAACCAGGTCAGTGTCAGTGTAGGGGGATGGCTGTATCTGAGCCCTTCTCACTTCATCCATGCACTTTAGTTCAGAGCATTAAGAGTTAAAAATAAATGCATCTCAGTCACATGATCTAAGACCGGTTCTGACACACCCTGCATTTTCCACTGATGATGTGTATTCTGTATGTTAGTGATCTAACATAACAATCAGACTGCTGCTCTTTCTACCTGAAAAACACTGACAACAGAACATGGAAACATTTCTAAATGCATTCTGCTTTAACTCCGAGAGAAACAAACAGATATATATTTCAAACAGATATTTAGAATCAGCATGAAGAAACGTGTCCAGGTAAACAGTGACACAGCACAATGTGATCAGAGTGATCCTGATGATGAGACAGATTCCTCTGGGAGGATTCTCACCTGCTGAACTCTCTCCAGGTCCACTCACAGACTCTCTCCAGGTCCACTCACAGACTCTCTCCAGGTCCACTCACAGACTCTCTCCAGGTCCACTCACAGACTCTCTCCAGGTCCACTCTCAGACTCTCTCCAGGTCACTCACAGACTTCAGTCCAGACTCTCTCCAGGTCCACTCACAGACTCTCTCCAGGTCCACTCACAGACTCTCTCCAGGTCCACTCACAGACTCTCTCCAGGTCCACTCACAGACTCTCTCCAGGTCCACTCACAGACTCTCTCCAGGTCCACTCACAGACTCTCTCCAGGTCCACTCACAGACTCTCTCCAGGTCCACTCACAGACTCTCTCCAGGTCCACTCACAGACTCTCTCCAGGTCCACTCACAGACTCTCTCCAGGTCCACTCACAGACTCTCTCCAGGTCCACTCACAGACTCTCTCCAGGTCCACTCACAGACTCTCTCCAGGTCCACTCACAGACTCTCTTCAGGTCCACTCACAGACTCTCTTCAGGTCCACTCACAGACTCTCTCCAGGTCCACTCACAGACTCTCTCCAGGTCCACTCACAGACTCTCTTCAGGTCCACTCACAGACTCTCTCCAGGTCCACTCACAGACTCTCTCCAGGTCCACTCACAGACTCTCTCCAGGTCCACTCACAGACTCTCTCCAGGTCCACTCACAGACTCTCTCCAGGTCCACTCACAGACTCTCTTCATGTGTGGAGGAAACTCAGCTCTTCCTCGTCTGTCCTGTGTCTGCATGCGTCTGATCTGAGGACGCCGTCACACCCTCATAAAAACACCTCAGAGTCACGTGGAAACCGGTGTAACAGGGACGAGCCGTCAGAGGAGGAAGAGCAACACCTGAGCTCAAATATATTTATATAGTACCAGTCAAAAGTTAGGACACCTTCTCATTCAAGGCAAAGGGGCTACTTTGAAAAATCTCAAATATAAATCATATTCTGGATTTTTTTACACTTTTTTGTTACTAGATATTTCCATATGTGTTCTTTTATAGTTTTGATGTCTTCAGTATTAATTAACAATGTAGAAAATAAATAAAAACCTTCGAATGAGAAGGTGTGTCCAAACTTTTGACTGGTACTGTAGATACAATAAATATTCAGAATGTTCCATTTATCTGTGATATACATTTCATTTCTGTTTGATCCATCACTTGATAGAGTCAACACCATCAAACTGGGCTACAAAGAGATGGAGGGAGGGGCTCACTCCCCCCATGTTACTCTCTCTGTGGCCTAGGCTCCACGGGAACGAAAACGGGTTGAATCCGCATATTTCTCATGCGTATAGCCCTTTAAGCTCGACGACGCCGTAACGGAAACGTAGAAACAGACCCTGCAAACGACAACGGGTCCAAAGGTGGATAGATCTGGGAACAGAGCGCTCTGGGGGGTCCAACGGGGCCGTGGAGTCGCCTATACGGCATCCGTTTCTGATAATGACGACGCAATAGCCCCGCCTCTCCCCACCTCTGCTGCACACTGAATTCAGATTATTTATCTTTATCTCGATATGGACATAAACGCGAGTGAAGTCTAATCTGACAGGACGGAGACACGCAGCTCCTCCCGCTGTGATGCAGCCGGAGCAAAACACACACTTCAAGTCAGATCATCACCCTTAGCTATTTTAATTACCTCTCAAACTAAACTAGTTATAAATATGTTCATTTTTACTGTCGGGTCACTCATTACTGGATCAGCTGCTGCATGAGGAAGCATGAAGATTTAAACTTTAACACACATTGACCGGCGAAAAACTCTGCGCGGTTCCCTCGGCCCCCACCGCGGAGAATCAACAGAAGTGCAGCCATGACAACCATTCTTTTTCGCTGCTTTTGTGGAGGAAGTTACAGCGCCACGTACAGGCTCGGCATATGTACTGCAGCTTTTCCAGCGGTTGGATGTAAACGGAGCCGTCTCGTGGAGCTTGACACAATCCGGTGTATATTGCGTGTGGTCGGAAGGTTTTTTGCGGTTGCGTTTGCGTTACTCCGATGCGTTTTGCCGTATTTGTCCTCGTGGAGCCGGGGCCTTAGTCTGGCTCCTTGCCTGAGACCAATTTGCCATGGGAGACCCTACCAGGAACACAAGGTTCCAGACAACACAGCCCCCAGGTTCATCAGGGCACACAAACCTCTCTACCACGTTAAGGTGCTGGTTCTTCAGAGAGGAATGAGATGTCCTTCAACATGGCGCGCTGAAATTCATTTCCGGGTCACTACCGGAGGACCGAGGATTCGAGGAGTCGAGGAGGGGAAATCCCAGAAATGAGATATGGCCTTAATGTACCACACCTGAAACACAGCGATACAGATGAACCTGCTTAAAGGCAGAAACTACAGCTGTGTGATCCCAAGGCTGTAAACACCAACCATCATTCCACAACAAATCTACAATATTCACAACAAAAATAAACCTTAATGATCTCACAACAACAACAACAACTGAAGAAAAACAAAGAAAAAAAGGACACAATTCTCAAAATGTATTTTTCTTTCCTTTTTTATTTTTTCTTGTTGCTTTGTATGTCTTATATGTGGACTTTGTTGTAATGTACCTACAATATTGAGTAGATGAATAAAATAAATAAAATAAATAAAATAAATAAAATAAATAAAATAAATAAAATAAATAAAATAAATAAAATAAATAAAATAAATAAATAAAATAAATAAAATAAATAAAATAAAATACATTAAATACATAAGGGGTTCATGACGTCAGCAAACAGAACGTAAACAAGGAACGCAAGAATTGCCTAGCAACGCAACTCGTTGTCGATATAACATTAAAAAGTAAAAACTACACTCACTACATTTCCCAGAATCCCCCTGTGCTTCAGACAGCTCCTGTGAAGTGTACCTACGAGTGGAAAGTGGTACATTAAACAGCTGTCATGTGACTTTTAAATATGTTTTTAGTCTGTGTGATGAATAAAACAGCTGTGACTTTAAATACTTTTTTTACTTAAATATTTCCGTAGCTTGATCCTCCTCTGTTTGCTCTGTTGTGAAATATCTCTGATGCATTTCGCAACGAGGGAGGAGCGTCAACCGGAATACACTCAACTGTACTTCCCACACACACACCCCACACACACCACACACACACACACACTCACACACGGCTGAGGACTTCCCGGTGCTCCACCGTCTCTCCAGCAGATTTACAGCCGGGACGCAGCGCTGACAGGCGGCGGTAAATCTTCAGATCTCGCGGTGCTGCGGAGCTAACCGGAGAGTGTGTGTGAGGCTGAAGCGGACACATACACACACACACACACACACACACACACACACACACACACACACACACACACACACACACACACACACTCACACTCACACACCACACTCAGATAACCCCGATACACTCTCCTGAGCGGACAGACCCTCCAGAGCTCCTTCATGTGAGTCCCGCTTCTCTTTCTGTGGTTCAAAGTGCTGTTTTGGGGGAAATGTGTGAAATGGAGATCTCACATGTTGTAGTGATCTCCATTTCCTCAGTTTAGGGTTTTTCTATTTACAGTGTGTCGCTCTGAATGAGAACCTTTATCAGTGTTAAAACAGACCTGTGTGTTCTGTTGGTCCTGGTTAGGGTCCTGCTTCTCTCTCAGAGACCCTCAGGTTGATGGTTCTGTTACTGGGACCACCAGTACGTGATCACTGGGAACACACTCTCACACACACACACACACACACACGCACACACACGCGCACACATCCTTAACCATCATCTGCTTCCTACTGTTCGGCTTAATAACTCGACTCACACATCCATAAGCATTTCATTCAGGAGGTTTTCACACATATTTTTTCAGACGTTTCACCGGTTTTTTTCGGAAAGTTTGAAATACATTTTTTAACGAGTTTTTTTTCAGATATTTTCAACATAATCTTCTGATTTTTTCGCATATTTTTGACTTTCTTGGCAAATGTTTGGGTTATTTTCCACCCTTTATTCAGCATCTCCTGTTTAAGGTTGTGTTCATGATACATCAGCGTTAATCATCATTTACTGTTCGGCTTAAATAGTCCACACACACACACACACACACACACACACACACCACACACACACACACACACACAACACACACACACACACACACACACACACACACACACACCACACACACACACACACACACACACACACACACACACACACACACCGCCTTTAACGCTTTACTTTCAGGAGGTTTTCACATATTTTTTATAAATGTTTTTTTTTTACTTCTTTCAAATATTTGTAGGACTTTCTATACGTATTTTTTAGACTTTACTCGCAAATGTTTGGGTTATTTTTCACTCTTTATTCAGCATCTCCTCCTGTTTAAGGTTGAGCTCATGTTACATTATGTGCCATGTCACCTGTGTAATCTTCATCATGTTCTATCAGATCATCTTCAGTCCTCAGTATTCTACGCTTTGTTTTCTAAATATCTGTTTCTAATATTTTTTGTGACTTTTTTTCAGATATTTTCAACATCATTTTCCAAAATTGTTCACATTTATTTATTAGATTTATATATTCTTTGTTTATTTGATTTGTACAGTGTATTCAGTATTACTGCTGTTGCCTTGTTTCTCAGACATCTCACATGTTTTGAAAGTTTCTAATTATTTATCTACCAAATATCTTTTAGGATTCTTTTACAAGATATTTTCCATAGTTTCCATATTTCTGGGACATTTAATCATATATTTCTGGGACATTTAATCATATATTTCTGGGACATTTAATCATATATTTCTGGGACATTTAATCATATATTTCTGTGATATTTCTGTGATTTTTTTCACATTTTCTCCAGCATTGAGCTCCTGTTTCCGTGCTGATTTTACCCCCTTACAGTTCCATGAAAACTGGGAGCACAAATCAGCGTTCACCATCGTACTGTTTCCAACTTGTCTGCTCAAATACTCCGCACACACCTTTTCTCAAGACTCCAAATTAATCTAAAACACTTTTAATACATTAAAAGTGTTTTTGAGTCGGAACAGATGATGGAGGGTTTTTCTAAATGAACACTTTTAGAGTCCGATCTGTTGGCAGAGAGCTCTCCATCGATGATAATCAGATTACACTTAATCCCATCAGTTTGAGGAGTGCAGAATCAGCAGAAACACACTGCAGTTCACCTGCCTCTTCATCCTCTTCATCATCAGCATCGTACATATTAAAAAGCAGCTTCATTATCACACAGCGCTGTGGAAGAAGTAAATCCATTCCTTCAGTAAAACCAGGGTGTTTCTAGAAAGTTATAGTATGAGTTCTGAGTCTCGGATCTTGTTTATATATCAACAACACAACAACAACATGACGCTCGTATACATGGGCCCTTTCTCATGTCTTCAAATGTTCCTCCTCGACTCCTATCCTCGACTCCTATCCTCGAGACTTAGTCCCGCCCACAGGAGATGCGAGCGGAGGAGCCGAGGAGGGGAACCGAGGAGAGAGGAGGGGAAGCAGCAGGCGGTTAGAGAAATGAGAACTCCTCTCCTCTGAGCGGTCATTTTAAAGAGACGTCCATTAATGATGACAGGAGGCACAGCAGCCCTCTGTCTGATGGACAGATGTGTTCATGACCACTTATATATTTACTTTCATTCATTCACAGTGCGGTATAATGAGACAATAACAGGCTACAGATGCGGACATACACACAGACACACACACACACACACATACACACACACACACACACACAGAGACAGACACAACACACACACACATATATGTATATATTTATATAAATATATACAATTTCAGAATCAAACAGAGCACTCTCATAATAACGTAACACTATCAGAGACTGGATATATACCCACCCCCTCTCTCCCCTCCTGTCGCTACAATGAGGGAAATAAATGACGGGCCAAAAGTTTTATTTACAAGTAAGCAGAGGACACCAAACCAACTGAGACCTGTCCGCTGCATCTACGCACACACTGCACCACACACACGCACCTACACACACGCACCTACACACTGCACCACACTACACCTACACTACACACACGCACCTACAGCTCCTAAAGCATATCATCAGGCTACAGCCGTTGTGTATTTTATTTTGTGAAGCACTAAATGGTTTTAGAAAAATATTGACTCTTTGTTTGTAGATATCTACTAAACTAAAGCAAAGAGAGTAGGCCTGTTATACTGAGTGATATATATTATACACACTGCTCTGCTTTCTGCACGGACCTCACAGCTGTTCTCACTGTAAACATCGCGTCACGATGAAAGCAGTTAATAAAATAATATCCAGGGGATGCATGCAGAGCTGTGATTGGCTGAGATCAGTCCGGCCGTGCGTCTCGACTCTTTGAAACATCTCTGTTGCCGGAAATGCATCCACGAAGGAGCCGTGGAGGACCGTGGAGGACCCATCAGTGTATCCTCGGTTATAGCTCCTCCAGAGAGCCTCCTCCACGCTCGATGCTCGGTCCTCGATGTGCATTTCGAGAAATGAGATGTCCTTCAACATGGCGCGCTAAAATTCATTTCCGGGTCACTACCGGAGGACCGAGGAGTCGAGGAGTCGAGGGAGGAACAGTTGAAGACATGAGAAAAGGGCCATGATGTCTCCTGACGTAAACAACAACATGACGCTCGTATACAAGATGTCTCCGCGGAAAAACAACGGACTACTAAAAAAAAGTAGTACTCTCTACTAGGGCTGTACCCAATTATCCGAATATTCGGGGACTCGTTGGCCTACTATTCTGTTTTCAATTTCGTTATTAGGATATTCGTTAAAAAAATGAATAAACGTGATAGACTTAGGTCGCATTCACACCAACCTTGTATAGTCCGGTTGAATCGGAGCGCTTGCAGTGGCTCAGTCAGTAGGGGCTTGGACTGGGAGCTGTAGGGTCGCCGGTTCAAGTCCCCGACCAGACCTAAAAAATATGGAGTGTGGACTGCTACTTGGAGAGGTCCCAGTTCCCCTCCTGCCCTGCCGTGGTGCCCTTGAGCAAGGCACCGGACACCCCCCTTCCCCCCTCACTCCCATTGCTCCCCAGGCGCTGTACACTAGCTGCCCACTGCTCCTAGTACTAGACTCCTGGTACTAGGATGGGTTAAAAGGCAGAGGCCAATCTTCACTGTGTGTGCTCTGCATGTGTGACCATTAAAGAGGGTTTCATCCCTCCCAATTCTATTCTATTGCAAGTGAACTCTGGAGCGGGTTCATCTCTGGTGTGAACGCAGTCTGCACCAAAACATAGGAAGCGTAGTATTTACGAGTCACAAGAACGCGGGATGTCTTTCAAAATCTTTAGCGAAAGAGTGCAGCAGAATGAAGAGTTGAACAGTGTCGTGTAAAGTAAAAACAACTATCAAACTAAAAACTATCCATAAAAGTCAGAGCCACCTGTCCGTCGGTGAAAACCCCTCCTGACTGCAGAACGTCTCTCATATGTGTTATAATGCTTTTTAACGCACGTTGTCCTGATTGTATATCATATGTTTGTTGAACAGCATTTCCGTGCACATGACTTGTGTTTAAAGTTTATAGTCCGTTTTGAATTTTGCCTGTGAACGCAAAACCGACCTTCTGAAGAATGAAGGTCCCCCCCGCGTGCACCGAATATCCGGAGCCCCGAAAAATGGTATTCGGGACAGCCCTACCTCTCTAACTAGGCTACATGTTATACGTCCTCACATTTTGAGCGTCACAAATGTCCTCCTGTGGTTCTGGTGATATCTCAGTTCATGGTCCAGTTCTAGAGCTTAACGATAAAGACTGCCATTAATCTGACTCATATTGCAAATGTTAAAATGATTCCCTCAGTGTACATTATTCAGATCATTTAAGTTTATTTGTACATTTCTCGGCACATTCTTCTAAATATTTCATGGAAATACCAGCCGACAAAGGAGGCGTTCAGTAACAGCCTCTGAAGGGAACACAGGGATCTTAGCGTAGCAGACCGTTACATGCACTAACACACCACAGAGAGCATGATAGGGCCCCTATTAAAACCTCTTAAGCCCTGAGCCTGTTGTTCAGGTCTCAGACCTCGAAACATGACATGCCCAGAACAAATGACTATAACTTCACTTCTAAAAGGGGAACATTAATAATCTTTTCCTCAAAGCAATGATAAATCAATATAGATTTTTTTTTATTTTTAAAGTAAATTCAGATTGAACATAGTAAAAAACATGTAAATGATAGTGTGAAAAAGAAAAAAAACCATACTTACAGTATAGTGAAAACCACCCTTGAATGGATGGGATCGGAGACTAAAAGCTTTAGGAATCCAAACTATAACATAATAAGTACCCTGTATCAAGATTGATGCAAACAAGTGACATTTGACCTTTTAGAGAGGTTTAGAAAAATAATCCACTTCTGGGGTCATTTGGGTGGATTTGACCTATCTCTGGCCCCCCTCGGTCGACTTTGATGGTTGACACCTCTTTTTAACCGTTAGAGCCAATAGAATTGAGGGGAAGTTCCTAAAATCCCATCTAACATTACCCCAGTGGTGAATAAGTGATGCGTAGCCAGAATGCCCCAAAACCGGAAGCTCTCATACACTCTGGTAGCTATCGTAGCAGATATGAAAACTCCGTTATTGACATAAATATGAAGATGGATTATCAGAAATCATTTCAAAGTGACACAGACACATTGGATTAACCTATAGATTAACCTTCAGCAGCGTTTTTATCATTTTAATGCCATTTGAACACGACTTTTAATCAGAACAACAGCCAAAGGTAAGACATATTGCCGTTTTTGCTACCTAAAGCTACGTTGTGTGATGTCTGTTTTTGCTTCCCCTGTCGCGGAGTTCTGATCGCTCAGTGGATTGATACTTATATATCTAGAATCTGTGGAATCTCAGCTTGCTAATCGATATCTTGTTTGTACAGATCCGATAAGTAATAAGGGGGTATTTCTACCGAGAGTTTTTGTGCTAAGTGCGTTAGCATTTTCTTCGCTCAGGGCTCATTTAGACGCTTCTGTTTTGTTTCGGTAAAAAATGGTTCATAGCGTCAGTTAGCTGAGTTTCTTCCCATTAGGTGGGTTTGACACATTAATAGATTTTTAAATGTTAAGAAGCCCTGAGACACAGTTTCGTGAAAAAAAGACCTGCCAGCCCCCGATAACCAGGGGCTCTCGGGCTAAATCACCATATAACAGAAACATATGGAAACAGGAAGTGACGCTCTCCTGTCCAATGAAGATAAACAACACTTTAATATCCATGAAGAAAACCACAGCTTCAACCCGTTTACCCTCCACTAGTGCCTGAGTGTTCCTCTGAGACAGCTGGTCCTCTGACAGGAAGTAGATGATGGTCCTCTGACAGGAAGTAGATGATGGTCCTCTGACAGGAAGTAGATGATGGTCCTCTGACAGGAAGTAGATGATGGTCCTCTGACAGGAAGTAGATGATGGTATTTATCTTGTGGAGGAACATCCTGTAAACTGAAATCAATGAGGAGGCAGCCGAGTCCGATCGACCCGGTCGATGGAAACCACATCCAATATCTGAAGTGCTCCAATAAATAAATACATACTGGATAATGATTGGACGGCAGCGGACGGTTATATGTATTTACTTTAAGACCTGAATGAGTTATTTAAAAAAGCCTTAAAGTTTCGCTCCTTTAACATCCCTGAATACACTCTGCAGTGTGTGTGTGTGTGTGTGTGTGTGGTGTGGTGTGTGTGTGTGTGTGTGTGGTGTGTGTGTATTGTGTGTGTGTGTGTGGTGTGTGTGTGTGTGGTGTGTGTGTGTGTGTGTGTGTGTGTGTGTGTGTGTGTGTGTGGTGGTGTGTTGATGGATGTCCCTCCTGGGCTCCATTAGTTTCTGCCTGTCGGTCGACCATGACTTCTCTCCTCTCTCTTCATCTTTTATTTTCTAAATCTCTCGCCTCAGCATTCAGCTCCTGGGGCTTTTATTTTGAAAAATGGAGCCACTGAGAAACCTGTCTCCTGTTCTGCTGTCTCCTGTCTCCTGTCTCCTGTCTCCTGTCTCCTGTCTCCTGTCTCCTGTTCTGCTGCAGTGAGACAGGTGTCTGCTGTCTCCTGTCTCCTGTCTCCTGTCTCCTGTCTCCTGTTCTGCTGCAGTGAGACAGCTTTAGTCCTTCACCTGACAAGAAGAGTATTTACAATACCTTTATTGGTTTATTACATACTAGTCTCTTTGATAAATATAGAGTGTCAGGTGATGATGATGATGATGTTGATGATGATGATGGTGATGATGATGATGTCCGCTATGATCCGTGGCGTCTCACATCAAAGACAGAAGACATTTTATTGTTTTTTTTCACATGTTTTATTCTGAAAGTTAGGATTAGTTTTTTAATGTTTTCACGTTATTTCACAAATCTTTTGAGAATGTTTAAAGATTGTTGTTGTGGGGAACATCACAATGTATTCAGCATGTTCTCCTCGTGCTACATTTTGCCTTTTCCACATAACATTTTCACATTTTTTTATTTTGCTTTTTCCACTTCACTTTTTGTGACATTTCCACAGATATACCAACGTACTCATCCAACGTTTTTAACATACGTTTTAAGTCTTTATTCACACATTCTCCAATCGTCCCTTCAAGCCCTTTTCCACCACGTTTTTTCAAATATTTTTAGGACACCTTCCCAGATATCTTTGACATCATTTCACAATAACATCACATGTTCCTCCTGTTGAAAGGTTGTGCTCGTTTGACCTTGTTTCTTTCTGTTGGCTACTTCAATCTACATCTCATATGTTATTTCTATATACCCAGTATTCCCCCCCCCCCCCCCCCCCCCCCCCCCGCCCAGCTGTCACCTCTCATGATTTCTTACGTCTCACATGACGGGGTTTCACATTAAAAGAAGTCATTAAGTAACGGATGGAGAGGTAAGGGAAGGTGGGGCTCATTATCCTCCCCCAGGAGAGAGAGGGGGGGGGGGGGGGGGTCACATGGAGCTCCATACCCTCTTAAAGGGTCTTTAACATGGTGTCTCAGGTACATTCATGAAGGTTTTCTCTAGCTCTTCAGTTGTTAGTGGGTCAACGTGAAGAAACAATAGATGTTGGCTGAGTTGAATAGCTGGATTCTGATTGGTCGGTTTGGGACATGTCAGAGGTCAATCTGACAGTACAGAGCGCTGTGAAGCACTTTAATGAAGGAGGATGAGGAGAGAGGAAGAGGTTTTTAGAAGACTCAGCGCTGGACGTCAGATACCAGATGTGATTCAAATGTTTGTCGAGCTTTTTCTCAGATATTCTCATCTTCATTTTTCACATTCTTCAGACTTTATTCTCCAGTTCTTCAGCTCCTGTTTGAGGTCGTGCTCATTTCACATCTGTTCGTGCTGTCGGCTGGTTTTCCTCTGCAGCTCCTATCACTTCTTCATCCTCTACTTTCTATGCATTGTTTCCAATCAATTCTGAAAATGGTGGCGCTCTATTCTTTTTACATATTTATTTTTCTCTAAATGATCTGACTTTTTTTTTTTTTTTCTGATGTTTTAGAATATTTTTATTAATTTATTTATTTGTTCAGATTTCTTTTTAACATTCTTTCCAACATCTCTCTGGGATCCTTTCCCAGAGGACTCTGCTGTTCTCTTGTTTCTGTGCTTGGAATCATCTGAAAATGTTTCCGACACGTTTCAGATCATTTTCAGGACATTCTCTGTTGTTAGAAACGTGTGATCATTACAGTCTCTCTCTCTGCAGGGCGTCCTTCGTCTCCACCCTCCTCTTCCTCCTCCTCGCTGTGGGCGGGATCACACCAGCTGTCAATCAGCCCTCAGGTAGGGGCCAGCTGGTGATTGTTGATTGGTTGATGGAGCGTGTTAGAGGAGAGTTAACTACTGATGCCATTTCATAATATCTAGTGGTTCCATCTGTTTCTATAGAGCTGCAGCGAAGCGTAAACAAGTCGTCAGCATATCATCAGAAGTTTACAACGCGTTGGAGAATTAAGACTTTAACATACTGCACATAATCACTAGAGATGGCAAATCCGGATCCTTTTACGGACTCAGGGTCTTCTGAGTCAGTCATTGAAGAGATCCGGATCATACGAGTCATTTGAGTCATTTGAGTCAGCATCACCAAGACCGTAGAAATCCTATCGGTGAAACCGAAAAGTTGTTGCATTTCACGAGCATATTAAACTGACGTTATATTAACCTCCGCTACACAGTGTCTTTTGCTCCTCTTAAGCACGGCGGTCCCCCCATTGGACCCCTCCCAACCGTTTTGTTTTCGAGATAATGTCTCAGGGCTTCTTAACATTTATGAAACTATTAATGTGTAGCACCAGATTAACGGGAAGAATCTCAGCTAACTGAAGATATGAACCATTTTTTACCAAAAACAAAAAACAAGTCTCATAAGAAGCGTCTAAATGACCCCTGAGCGAAAAAATTCTAACGCACTGCGGCACACAATTCAAGATAAAGATACCCTTATTACTTATCGTAGCTGCACATACAATATATCCGATTAAAGCTGAGACTCCACTGATTATTTAGGTATAGTATCATCACTGAGCGATCCGAACTTGCGACAGGGGAAGCAAACACAGACCATCACCTTTACGGAGCTTTTACGGCAGATCGTCTCACCGTAGCTGTCAATCTGATCAAAAGACGTGTTCAATGGCATTAAAACGAAAAAAAAAAATCTACAACTGTTGATCCATAGGTTGATAATGTACCTGTGCCTTTGAAGAAATTATTTATAATCCATAATTCCATTTTTTATGTAAAAATCGGAGCGGAAAAGTTAGCTGCTAATGGTAGCCACCAGAGTGTATGCAGCTTCCGGTGTTGGTAACGCGTCACTCTCACTCCTTATTTGTTAACGTTTTGGTGTGTATATAACTTTCCCTCGATTCTATTGGCTCTAGCGGTTTATAAAGAGATTTCATTCATCAAAATCGAGCAAGGGGGGGCCAGAGATAGGTCAAAATCCACCCAAATGACCCCAGAAGTGGAGTTTTTTGGCTAAATCTCTCTAAAAAGGTCAAATTTCACTTGTTTTGCATCAATCTTGATACAGGGTACTTATTAGTGGAATGCTGTGCCACAGCATTCCACTATAGTACTTACATTTCTTTATTCTTCCCCTTAATATTATTATTATTTCACCCAATATTTGGCTCTCCATAACTTCAGCTTACTTTCAGCTACAGAAACCATTCAAATATCAAACTATTCAGCCTGTTCAGGAATCGATGGGAAACCTTCAACTTTTTAAAAATATTTTATACTTTTTGAAATATTCAGCTTTTTAAACTCTTTTTTTTTAACATTGAAGTCAATGGGAGATGCCTTCAAATCCTCTTTTTCCTACACTTTGCGCCAAATGCTTCTCCTTCCACATAATTTCAGCTAGACACTTCACTTCCAACTTTCAAATGATCACAACACCTTCAGCTATAAAACTTGTTATTCAGATTCTTCATATCTTTTACACTTCTTGATATATTTAACTTTGTTTGGAGCTTGGTAAAGAGGCTTTTCTCTCAAGATTTTAAACATAGTGTGGACTGGAGCAGCTCGTTAAGTCTAGAGTGCCTTTGATCTCAAAAACAGAGTGGAAGAGTAGCTTGAAATTCTCCCAAAAAAAAATGTTTTAAAACCTGCCATAATTCTCAAACCTTACATTCCTCAGACATAATTTTTTCATGAGAAACGTAGGAAAACATCTCGTAGCTTTGAAAAATGACAAATAATTAAGCCAAATAATTAAACAAAATGCCTCTTGAGGGGCATGAAGTGACAAAAACGTTCAACATGTCTCCATTAACGCCCATTGTAATTTCAGGCAGATATTTCCTCCACAGCAGCAGGCCCGCACACCTTTCTTAAACTGCCAAAAAAGCCACATTATTAACCCGAAAGTAAACAAGAAAAATTACACTTCAATATACTCAACTTCCTTCACATGCTTCACATTTTGAAATTTCACAGATATCTGTTATCGTTCTTCCACAAAACGTTCACATGTAAGAGGTTCATCTCTCATTCGAACAATGAAGCCTTTGCATCTAATACATAGCTCGTAGCTCAACTGTCAACACCTGTGTTTGAACACGATGATGTCATCACTCCAACTGACAGCAGTCAGTTCAGTTGTCCTCTCTCTCTCTCTCTCTTCTCTCGTCTCTCTCTCTCTCTCTCATCTCTCTCTCTCTCTCTCTCCTACTCCTACTCTCTCTCACACACTCACACTCACACTCACACACACACACAAACACACTCTCCCTCTCTCTCACAGACACATCAAGAGAAGAGAGGGCGATCAAGAGAAGTGAGAGAGGTTGATAGAAGAGGTGATAGGGTGATCACAGAGAAGATAGAGGGCGATCAAGAGGAGAGAGAGAGCGAAGCGATCTAGAGCGAAGAGAGAGAGAGGGAGCGATCAAGAGAGAGAGAGGGCGATCAAGAGAGAGAGAGAGGGCGATCAAGAGGAAGAGAGGAGGGCGATCAAGAGGAGAGGGCGATCAAGAGGAGAAGAGAGATGCGATCAAGAGGAGAGAGAGAGGGCGATCAAGAGGAGAGGGCGATCAAGAGGAGAGAGAGAGTGCGATCAAGAGGAGAGAGATGAGGGCGATCAAGAGGAGAGAGAGAGGGCGATCAAGAGGAGAGAGAGAGGGCGATCAAGAGGAGAGAGAGAGAGAGGGCGAGCAAGAGAAGAGAGAGAGGGCGAGCAAGAGGAGAGAGAGAGGGCGATCAAGAGGTAGAGGGCTGATCAATGAGGAGAGAGAGGATGCGATCAAGAGGAGGAGGAGAGAGGGCGATCAGAGGAGAGGGCGATCAAGAGAGGAGAGAGAGTGCGATCAAGAGGAGAGAGAGAGGGCGATCAAGAGGGAGAGAGAGGGCGATCAAGAGGAGAGAGAGAGGGCGATCAAGAGGAGAGAGCGATCAAGAGAAGAGGGCGAGCAAGAGAGAGAGAGAGGGCATGCAAGAGAAGAGAGAGAGGAGGGCGAGCAAGAGAAGAGGAGCAAAGAAGAGAGAGGGGCGATCAAGAGGAGAGAGAGAGGGCGAGCAAGAGAAGAGAGAGGAGGGCGAGCAAGAGAAGAGAGAGAGGGCGAGCAAGAGAAGAGAGAGAGGGGCGAGATAGAAGATTGAGATGTGGAGGGCGATCAAGAGAGAAGAGAGAGAGTAATGTAACCTCCTAATGTAATGTATAACTACTATGAAAATGTTCAAAAAGTACTCAAACTTCACATGTGTGCTAACAGTCCAGCCGTGAAGACATCAACAGGACAGTTTTGAGATTTCTTCAAATGCCGTTGCCATGGCGACAGATAATTCACCATCAAGTTAGTTCAAAAGTTTGCAGTTCAAATATTCTGCTGCTTTCCCAAGCCTTTTTACTCTCTTTTCTCATCTTAATACAAATTCATTCACTACTACTTACATCTGATATTTAACTCCTTCAGCCTATTTTCAGCTGCAGAAACATTCAACTATTACATTATTCAGCTATTTCATTACATCAAGGCTATACATGTTTTTTTTAAACCTTTTCTTTTAAATATTAAGCTTTTTCTGCATTTTTGTAGCTAAAAGCAGCTACCATTCAGCTAATAACATATTCAGCTTTTTCAGCTAAATTCAGCCACAAATGTTCACAGTTTACAGCATTCGCACGCATTTCTGCAGGAAATGCATTTTCTAGTTATATGTTGTACTTTGGATTCCTAAAGCTTTTAGTCTACTAACCCATCATCCAAGGGTAGTTTGCACTCAGAGCTTAAGAGGTTAATAAAAAATGTTGATCACAAAAAAAAGGGTTATTTTGCGATTTGGCAAATCTGAGTCTGCTGTTGACTCGTGCATGAGGACGAGTCTGCTGGATCTCTGGATCTGCTGCTATATGGCTACGGCTCTGAGTCCGCACGAGTCTGCTGTGTGTTGCACAGCGAGTCAGGATTTGTGAATCTGAGTCTGTGAAGTTGACTAACTCGTAGGCTACTGGTCTCTCTCGATCATTGACCTGGATTCACGGATCCCGCGATTTTGATGAAGTCCATTATGTTTCCGGCTCTAAATGAAGTTTCAGTGTAGACTTCTAACAAAATGGTCATGTTGTGCAACAGTCTCCTGCGTGTAATAGCTGCATTTCCAATAAGGATCTTACTTGGCAAAACGTTTATTTTGAACATAGCACACAAAAAGAAACAAACAATGACAAATGATAGAAAATTGCAAAACAGTTAGAATATATAAAATGTCTTAATTATACAATTATTATTATTAAACATATCATTATATCTAATCATATGCCCCCCATATTTTCTCATGGACTGCGTAATCATTGCAATCCTGGTGTTGTATGTGTTAAATGTGTAAAGTGGTGTCTTTTGCTTTAATAAAACATATTGATCACAAAAAAAAGGGTTATTTTGCGATTTTGGCAAATCTGAGTCTGCTGTTGAATCGTGCACGATGACGAGTCTGCTGGATCTCTGGATCTGCTGCTATACGGTTACGGCTCTGAGTCCGCACGAGTCTGCTCTGCTGTGTGTTGCACAGTGAGTCAGGATTTGCGAATCTGCGAATCTGCTGTTGACTCGTGCATAATATAGCCGCGGGAGCCGAGTGCTGGAGGAGGGGCTATGCTCGTGCACATGGCGAGTATGGATCTCTGGATCTGCTATGCTATTACGGTTAGGAGCCGTCGGCTCCTCTGAGTCCCCACGAGTCTGCAGGAAGTTTCACTGATCCGCGTCCCCTGAGCCAAACGATCACTTCTGGCAGCTATCCTACTTGCTAAAGGGCAGATGGACTGGGGT